GAGTTTCCTTTCTTTGTGGTGGTTGTGGAGACGTGGCTCCTCTGCCTCCCTGGACTGCTGGAATAGAATAGAGGATTAATTTTGTCTTCCCCTAAACTCCTCAAAAGGAGCTCTGGCAGTACAGGGCCCAAGGCATGTGGCTGCTAACCAGAACGTTGGTGGTTCAAACCCACCAGCTGCTCCACAGAAGGAAGATGAGGCAGTCGACTTCCGTAAAGATTCACTGCCTTGGAAACCCAGTGGGGGTCACTGTGAGTCCGAATCGACTTGATGGCAGTGGAGATATCTATATATTCCTCAAAGCTTATGTTCGCATGCAGGCTGGCCCTGTGCCAGGTGGTGGGGTTTGGGTAGACCACGGAGCATGCTTATAAAAGGTACTGCTTTGAGCTCTGAGCCCTGGGGCACCTGGGCCGTGACTTCTTACTCCTCACAAACGTGCCTTCTGAACAGGACTTTGCCCACCTCCTCTTAACTTCCTCCATCAAGCTCTCTCCCCTGTTCCTTCTCTCCCTCACGGTCTTGAATCCCTCATCTTTGCCAGCTTTCTCGTCCCATGACCCCCTCCAACTTAACCATTTCCCCTCAGAGTTCAGTGGCTCAGTGGTTACTCACTTGGCTGTTAATTCACCAGCTGCTTGGCAGGAAAGACAAGGCAGTCAGCTTCCATAAGATATACAGCCCTGGAAACCCTCTGGGGCAGTTCTCTGTCCTGTGGGGTTGCTATAAGTTGGAACTGACTCAACAGCAACAGGTTTGTTTTTTTAGGTTATAAGCCTTTTGAGTGGTAGATATGTGTCCCCACGTGGCTTTGTGGGTAGCCCTTGTATGTCATCCCTGCACCCACACCTGGCCACAGTGATGGATTCCTTTAAAAAAAATTTTCACTGGGGTGTGGGCCTTGGGTTTAAATGCTAACTCAGCTGAATGACCTTGGACTATTTTACTTACCTTTTTGAGCCTCAGGTATCCTTGCGTAGAAACTAGGCATCAACCCCTTATGCCAGGAGGGTCGTCTGAAAAGTGAAAGAATGCAGTCTCTGAATCCTGACCACGGTGCTCACACACGACGGGCACTTGGTCACTGGCCGCCATTTCTCACTTCTCACTTTGGGCACTCCTCCAACCTTGTCTACCTTTTCCCTCTCCTCACCTGGACTGCTGGTTCTCCAAAAGTTCCCTCCACCCCCGGCTGCCTTGTCTTCAGAGCTTGATCCCCTGAAGTTTCTACAGGGAGGTTTCCACCCAACCACGGCTCTCGCTGCCACCAGGATTCACTGGCAACTAAAGCCAGTGTCATTTTCTCACTCTTCACTCCGTGGTGGCGTTTTGCAGAATCAAGCATCTTCTCCCTCTTGACACTCCCTTCTCTCTTAACTCTATTCTCCCAACTCTCCTCCTCCTCTGAGGCCTCCTTGTTCGTCCACCTGCCCCCCTGGCCATCTGAGAGGGGTGAGGACCTTGTACCTCTCTTGACTGTTACCGTTCCTCCCTGATATTTCTTCAGAGTACAGTGGACTAACTGAGATAGTGTGTTAGTTTCTGTTCCCACTGGAACGAGTTACCATGTACTTAGTGGCTTACGACAATGGAAACACAGTAGTTGACAGAGCTGGAAAGCAGGAGTCCACGGGGTTTGACACGGTCTCCCAGGAGAAGCCTGAGTCATGAGTGCATTTCTTAGTCCTGCTGTGAGCTATAATGCCAGCCACACGTGGCCAGGACCCCTGGACATGCGGCCAGTCCTAACTGAGCTGAGCTGTGAGTGTAAAACGCACACCAGATCTCAGAGACTTACTACAGAGAGAGAGAATGTAAAATATCTCATTAATAATTTTCATATGGCTTACATGTTCAATTGATAGCATTATAGATTTATTGGGTTAAATGAGATACATTATTAAAATGTCATATGCTTCTTTTTTGTGTAGCTGCCAGGCAACGTTGTGATTAGGTTGGTGGCTAGCCTTGCGCTGTTCTTGGACAGTTCTGTCTTGGGGTATGGAGCCCAGCCGGGATAGCCCCTTGTCCAAGTGCATTCCTCACCGCATTTGTGCCACGCTTTGGATATCGTTCATACTTTTGCTTGTTTGCTTATACATTCGTCCAGGCCCTCATTCCATGTCAGTGGAGTTTCCGTTTCTGTCAGGCCCTGCTCTAGACACAGCAGAGACAGAGGCAAACACTCCTATAACGGCAGCTCAAGGGCATACTGGCTCCCTTAGCAGCAAGTCCATGTTGATGGCTTGTGTCAGTTTTTGTGCTGTCCCTGCCAGCCTGACTGAGACTGCTTGCCAGGTCACCACAGCAGAGAGCACCCAGTGCACCAACCACTGCCACCCCCTAAGCCCTCACTGGTGTCCAGTGTTAGGATCAGACCACTGCAGGTTGAGATTGACAGGAATGTCCAAGGTGACTCCTGGGACAAGGAACATGAGATTTGGACTAGATGTAGAATGTAACAAACCTTCTGAAGGTTTAAAGCCTCTTGTGCCTAGGTCTCCTGGGCAAAGTATTGCCAAGCCCTGTGTTGGCTGCTGGGCATTGAAGGGTAACTGAAACCCCTGCCCTACCCATACTGAGCCCCCATTATTGCAGAGGAGAAGAGAGTGCAAAGGATGCACTTACCACTGTACTGATACGGACGCTCACAGAGCATTGGATAAAGTGAGAGCCAATGGGATGGACATCCTCCAAAGTGGGAGCCAATGGGATGGACATCCTCTAAAGTGAGAGCCAATGGGACGGACATCCTCTAAAGTGGGAGTCGACGGGACAGATAACCTCTTAAGTGAGAGTCTATGGGTGAACATCCTCTAAGTGAAAGTCGATGGATGGACATCCTCTAAAGTGGGAGACAACGGGGTGAACGTCCTCTAAGTGAGAGTCTATGGGACGGACATCCTCTAAGTGACAGTCGACGGGACAGACATCCTCTAAAGTGAGAGACAATGGGACACGTGTCCTCTAGAGTGGGCGACAACGGGGCGCGTGTCCTCTAGAGTGGGAGTCAATGGGATGAACTGTGGGAAGCATACCTGGGACTTTTGGTCCTGACTGCTCCCAGTTCTGCAATAATGTGACACAGTGTTGGGAGCCTTAGGGGGTCCCCTTGATATATATGTCTCAGGGGCCATCAGCTGTCACATTGCTGTCAGATCAGACACACAGCACACACAGTCCTGTGTACTATGCTCCCAGACCACCTGGGGTGTGAGAGGGCTCAGCCCTGGCTCCTTGAAAAGCAAAGGTCCCATCCCAAAGCCCAAGCCTGGAAGGAGCCACACAGTTTTCACTGACAATTGGAAGGCAGATGCCCCATTGATGCTATTTCCTTGAATGTTTTACATCTGATTTTTAAAATTTCTGTTAATATGGGTCTGTGGCCTTTTCTCCTGTGAGGCCAGTAGTCGCCTCGTGTCCGGGCTTTGAGGAGAGAGAGTGGTGCGTGTGCTGGGCGGCTGCACCGGGGCTGCTGTCAGCTTGACTCAGTGCTGGTTTCTCTCGTTCTTACTCAAGCTGATGCTTACCTTAGCACCCTGCTGGTGAGAACTCTCCAGATGACACAGTGACGCCTCATTAACGAATTGCCTTCCTACAAAGGCAGCCTTTTTGGAAAACAAACAACAACAAACTCCGTCCATCACCTTGTGTTTGCAGCCAGTGACAAAGTACCTGCCTGGAATCCTTCTACTTGTTTGTCCCTACTAGGGTGCAGGGGACCAACGGGAGCAGGCCCGCCCAAAGGGAGTTGAGGGGTCTTCCCTCCCCCTTCCCCAGGACACCCCCTTCCCTTCCTGGCAAGTAGTCTCCAGGCCATGCCACCCTGAAGCCTCGAACACACACACACACACACATACAATGAACTCACTCATACTTATACCTCCTGCAGCCTTTCCTGTGGTTACCAAGGTTCAAACAAAGACATGTGGCTTATTCCTTGTGATTAAGACCTAGGCTTTCCCGCAGACACGACTGGAATAAAACAGTCATCCCTTCTCCTTCACTCCTCACCCTTTTTCTCCTCCTCCCCCTCATTTTCCTTTTGAGTGTTGGATTTTATCCCCAATCATTCTTCATAGTACAATGGGCTTAAATGAGAGAGTGTATTCATTTTCTAAAAGGAGCGCTGGTGGTGTAGTACCTAAGGCATTTGACTGCTAACCAGAAGGTTGGTGGTTCAAACCCACCAGCAGCTCTGTGGAAAGAAGATGGGGCTCTCTACTTCCATAAAGATTTACTGCCTCAGAAACCCAATGGGGGTCACTATGAATTGGATGGCAGTGAGTTTTTTTTTGTTGTTGTTGTTCATTTTCTATCGCTGCTGTAAGCCTTCACCATGTACTTAGTGCTTTACAACAAACAAACCATGGGGCTGTGGAGCACAAGTCCCCCAGGGGCTTACCTGGGGGCGGGGGAGGGATTTAGAAGTGGACCAGGCACAGGTAAGTAGCCTGAGAACTGAGGGCTATGACCCTGTCCTCCTGCCTGTAAAGTCTTGCCTGTCTTCCCAGCTCACAGGCCACCTCCTTCCAGAAACTGCCCCTCATTTCCCTAACTTCAATCTCACTTTCCTCTTGGAATCTCCTGTAGCGTTGGGTTGATTTTGCTGAAACAATGCCTTTGTTTCTCCCTGTCTTACAGTTTAATTGAAAAGTGTCTGTCTCTGTCAATACAAGTCCATCTCAGATGGGGTGTGTGCGTCAGAGTCAGTTCTGGAGCTGTAAGAAATGGGGGTGCCCAGGCCTTGTCCCAGTGCTACTTAATTTGATATGATGCATAGATCTTGTTCGTTATGCTTACTACATAAATCTAAATTATGGAGCAGCAGTCAGCGTGTTTCATGTCGTAGGAATGAGGGGACATTGGCAGTACCAGGATCGCTTTATATCACAGTAATCAGCACTGCATTAAAAGCCATTTTTAGGAAGGCTTAACAAATTTTTCCCTTCTCTTTCCTTTTCAAATGGGTGCTTCCTGATCCGTCCTTCTTGCTCCAGGATTTGCGCAAGCAGGTAGCGCCGCTGCTGAAGAGTTTCCAAGGGGAGGTAAGCGTTTCTATTTAACATATATCCTGAGCCACACTCCGTGGTTAATAGGTCTTCCTTTTTCTTCATATTAAATGAAAGCCATTGACGGAAGGTACTTACCCAAGTGGAGCCTCCGGCTTGACAATGTTGTTTTCACTGGGTCCTCAGTCAAAGCCGTTATGGAAAGAAGTCATATTCAGAATGTAAGAAGCTGTAGTGGATTCAGTGCAGAAGTGCCCGGGCTGGTTGGCCTTCCAGGCTGCAGTGTAGGGACCTCAGGCTTACTTGGGAATCTACCTTGTTACCTGAGCTAGTCTCATGCTGCTGCCGTGAGGGCTGGAGTATGAGAAAGATGGAATGGGACCATCTAGTGTTTTTATGAGAGAGGCTATAGGAGGCAAGCACGCGGTGCACAAGTTTCAGCAGCTACAGACGAAGACAGACTCGGACGAAGGAGGAGGCCTCCACTTCTCAAAGAACTGGCCAGGGAAAACCTTAGGAATAGCAGAGAAACACTGCGTGGTACATTACTGTGCAACTTTATGGATAGCCCAGAAACATTGTCCGATACAGTGCAGGAGAATGAGCCACTTAGGTAGGAAGGCTCTCAAAATAGGCCCAGGAAAGAGCTGCTTCATCAGAGTAGAACCAGCCTGAATGATACGGATAAGGTAAAGCTTTCAAGACCTCCATTTGCTGACGTGGCACAGCTCAAATTGAGGAGAAACAGCTGTAAACATCCATTAATAATTGGAACATGGAATGTATGAAGCATGAATCTAGGAAAATTGGAAGTTGTCAAAAATGAAATGTAGCGCATAAAGATTGATATCCTAGACACTAGTGAGCTGAAATGGACTGGTTCTGGCCATTTTGAATCAGACCACCATGTGGTCTACTATGCCAGGAATGACAATTTGAAGAGGAATGACATAGCGTTCATCATCACAAAGGATGTTTCAAGATCTGTCCTGAAGTTCAGTGCTATCAGTAATAGGATAATATCCATATGCCTACAAGGAAGACCAGTTGATACAACTATTATTCAGACTTATGCACCAACTACCAAAGCCAAAGATGAGGTAATTGAAGATTTTTACCAGCTTCTGCAATCTGAAATTGACTGAACATGTGATCAGGATGTGTTAATTATCACTGGTGACTGGAATGCAAAAGTTGGAAACAAAAAAGAATCACCAGTAGTTGGAAAATTTGGCCTTGGTGACAGAAATGATGCTGGAAAGCACATGATAGAATTTTCTAAGACCAACGACTTACTCATTGAAGATACCTTTTTCATCAGCACAAATGGCGGTTATACATGTGGAGTTGCCAGATGGAATACACAGGAATCAGATTGACTACATCTGTGGTAAAAGGTGATGGAAAAGCTCAATATCTTCAGCCAAAACCAGGCCAGGAGCTGATTGTGGAACAGACCATCAACTGCTCATGTGCAAGGTGATCCCACAGAATATGGAAATTATCGAGCAATATTATTAATATCACATGCAAGTAAAATTTTACTAATGATAATTCAAAAACGGTTGCAGTAGTATATTGACAGAGAACTTACAGAGGTACAAGCTGGATTCAGAAGAGGATGTGGAACAAGGGATATCATAGCTGCTGTCAGATGGATCCTGGCCCAAAGCAAAGAATACCAGAAAGATGTTTACTTGTGTTTTATTGACTATGCAAAGGCATTTGATCGTGTAGATCATACCAAATTGTGGATGACATTGAGAAGAATGGGAATTCCAGAAAATTCCAGAACACTTGATTGTGCTCATGAGGAACCTGTACATTGACCCAGGAGGATGTTGTTCAAACAGAACAAGGGGACGCTGCATGGTTTAAAATCAAGAAGGGAGCGCGTCAGGATTGTATCCTTTCCCCATACTTATGCAATCTGTATCCGGAGCAGATAATCCTAGAAGCTGGACTATAGGAAGAGGAACGTCGCATCAAGATTGGAGGAAGAATCATTAACAACCTGTGATACGCTGATGACACAACTTTGCTTGCTGAAAGTGAGGATGACTTGCACTTATTGATGAAGATTGAAGACTACAGTCTACAGTATGGATTACACCTCAATATAAAGAAAACAAAAGTCCTCACAACTGGACCTATAAGCAGCATCACGATAAATGGAGAAAAGATTGAAGTTGTCAAAGACTTCACATTGCTTGGTTCTACAATCGATGCCAATGGATGCAGCAGTCAGGACATTAGTCTATACCCAGGTATAGACCTGGGCAAGTTGAAGTGCTGAGGAGCAAGGATGTCTACTTGAGGACTGAGGTGAGCCTGACACAAGCCATGATATTTTCAGTTGCCTCATATGCATGTGTGAGCTGGACAATGAATAAGGAAGACTGAAGAAGAATTGATGCTTTTGAGTTGTGGTGTTGGTGAAGAATGCTGAAAGTACCGTGGACTGCTGAAAGAACTAACAGATCTGTCCTGGAGGAAGTGCAGCTGGAGTGCTCCTTAGAGGCAAGAATGGCCAGACTTGGTCTCACCTACTTTGGTCATGTTGTCAGAAGGGACCATTCCCTGGAGAACGATGTCATGCTCGGTAAGGTGGAGGGTCGATGAAAGAGGGGAGGAAGGCCCTCAACGAGATGGATTGACACAGTGGCTGTGATGATGGGCTCAAGTATAGCAAGGACCATGGAGCTGGCATGGGACTGGGCGGTGTTTTGTTCTGCTGTGCATGGGGTTGCTGTGAGTCGGACACGATTCAGTGGCACCTAACAACAGCGTAACAATAGGAGGCAAAAGGAATTTTATTTGGCCTATGGCTTGGAACAAAGAGGAACAGGCAGAAGCCATGAGGAGTAAGTGTGGGTCCAACATAAGGAGGAGTTTTCCACCACGTATGCCCAGAGAAGGTCTGAGCTTTCTGTCAAGATGGCGGTTGGGAAGCATGTCATCTGCGATGTGCCACCTGCTATGGGAATCGTATCCACAAAAAGGCCTAGGGGCTGAGGTTGGTGACATCAAGCTCCTGAACCTTCTCTGTAGAGATGCAGTAGATTTTAGAAAACCAAAAATTTTTTGGTTGTTGGGGAGTGATCCCCTCTCACCTCTTTAGCTTTTCCCACTAGAATATGAAAGAATATGGTGAAAAATACCAGGCTGATGAGGACAGGGAGGATTTTTAAAAAACCCTTCAAAGGGACTGTATTTTTGGCCAAACCAAAAAACCAAACTCACTCCCATCAAGTCAGATCCGACTCATAGCGACCCCTCCTTGGGTTTCCAAGGCAGTGTCTCTAAAGACGTAGATTACCCAGTCGTCCTTTTGAGGAGTGGCTGGTGGGTTTGAACCACCAGCCTTCTGGTTAGCAGTCAAATGCCTTAGGGACTAAGCCACTAGAGCTCCTTATTGGTGGGCAGTCTTAGGAATTCTGTTTTTTTGTAAGTACTCAGTTCACAGGAATCACAGAGAACATGAAAGAAGGGACAGGATTAGGGGAAGTGAGATGGCGAGTTCCCTTTGGGACACCAGATCCGAGGGGCTCGGTAGAGCGGATGCCTTATAGTGACAGGGCCAGGAGTAGGAGGTCGGAGCTACTGCTGAACCCATTCCTCAGCATGCAGGTGGGGAGGAAACTAAGGACGTTAGTTATGGAGCCCATGGTGGAGACCAGCGAAGAGATCCCGGGGCATTTAAGGAACCGTGCAGAAAGACGATGCATCACTGACCATCGTTGGTGATTGTGGAAGATTTCAGTCAGTCGCCATTAAGTCAGTTCCTACTCGTGGCAGTCCCCTGTGTTCAGAGCAGAACGGTCCCCCACAGGGTTGACAGTGGCTGTGATCTTTGAGAGGTAGATCACCCGTGTATCGTCTGAGGAGTAGCTGGGTGGATTCAAACTGTGCACTTTTTGGTTAGTAGACAAGGAAGTGGTCACTACTTGGGACTCCCTGAAGATTTTACAAAAGTAGAATAACAAGAAAACCCAAACCCGTTGCCCTCGAGCCGATGTACGGCAACCCCAGAGGACAGAGTAGAACTGCCCATGCAGTTTTCAAGGCTGTACTCGTCACTGGAGTAGGCCACTGCATCTTTCTCCCAAGGAGCAGCTGCCAGGTTCCAATCACTGACCTTTCAGTCAGCAGCTGAACACTTAACCACTGTGCCACCAGGGCTCCTTGAAGAGTAGCATAGTGCTCTTTGTATGTTTGTTTCTGATATCCTGCCTGGTGACACCCTTGTGTTCTCAGCCTGGTAAGGCACACAAACACTACGATACCAGGTCTTTGAGAGATTTGTCTAGTCTTTTCCTTAGAATCGTATCTCCCTCACTTTATGAGTGAAACAGCTACCATACAGCTACCCACATTTAACCGGATCTGCCCTGTTACCCGTTCAGCAGCTTTGTTGTGAGACCTTTGGCTTACTGTTTCTTTGGCTGAACTAACTCAATGCTCTTTTTTTATGTGCTAGTTTTTTTCTCCCCTCTTAAACAATTTCAAATATACATATAAAGTAGAGAGATCAGTACAGTGAACGCCTGTAACCTTTCACCCAGACTCACCACTTACTAATGTTCCGTGCACTGTTCCCATGCCCTTTTGCCGACCCTGTGAAGGTAACTTGCAGTCTCCATGGCTCTGTGCCTTAAATGTGCACGTTTCGTCCAAGAACGAGGACACTCCCCAGCACCACCCCTGTAACCACAGGCATCACGCCTGAGGGTGTTAACAGTCATTTTAGAATATCTAATACGAAGAAAAGACAAACCCACTGCCATGGAGTCATTTCCGACTCATGGCAACTCCCATTGGGTTTCCAAGGTGGTAAATTTTTACAGAAGTAGATTGTCCTCTGCTAGTGCCTAAGGCATCTGACTACTAGCCACCAGCTGCTCCTCAGAAGGAAGGCTGGGCAATCCACTTCCATAGTGATACGCCTCGGAAACCCAAGGAGCGGTTGTTACGAGTCAGATCCTACTGGACAGCAGTGAGGTTGTTTGTTTTTTTTTTTTTCCACAGAGTAACTG